GGAATGCTGTTGTTGTTAAGTGCTGTTGAGCTGAGTACTATCATAGTGACCCTATGAACAATAAATCTGATCTCTGTCCTCTCCTGAGCCATCTGTATCATCCTTGACACATGTGAGTCCATGGCTGCAGACACTGTATCAATCCATCTTGCTGAGGGTCTTCCTCTCTTTCACTGACCCTCCGCTTTTCCAAGTATGATGTCCCTTTCCAAAGAATAGCCTCTCCTAACAGCATATCCAAAATATGTATGGCAAAAAAGGGGACGGGGAAGTGAAAAGATCTTCCAGTAGTAAGAAACTGTGCAGCAATTCCAAAGGCATACAGATCAAATCCACCAGCTACTCTGTGGGAGAAAACAGACAGTCTCCTGTGTGATTAACTGCCTCTGAAAACCCATCAGACGGTGAGTGATGAGTCGGTTCTGACTTGATGGTAAACAGCAACAACAACACAATGACCAAAAGGTTCCAAATCTGACAGAAATAATAAACTCACAGATTCAAGAAACATGAAGAAAACATCAAGGAATGCAGTGGTCAAATTGCCTGGCTCCCCCAGGAAGGATATCCTCTATGAGTGGTGAGTTCCTCCACAGTGGTCAACAGGATGAGAGAGCGTGGGCACAAGGCTGTCCGATGGCGCTATTCAGCGATATCCGGAGGTGAATGGTCTCAAAGTATAGGAGGGTGGTCAGATTTGCCGCTGTGCTTAAGGTCACATCTGCGTACCAGCAAAAAGCATGCTAGTTGATCCTGTGGGAAAGTGCCCCTAATTGGCTTATAAAACAGGAACTGGGGAAGGATAGCTGATGTTTGATGAAGGTGACAAAGCCTCACTGGCCTGAGAGAAGCAGCCTTATTTCAGACCCATGGATTCATTCACCGTCAGGCTTGAGCCTGATTGTTGTGGACTCGATTCTGATAGCAACCCAGGAGGACAGAACAGAACTGTTCCATAGACTTTTAAAGTTTCTAAGGCAAAACTTTAAAAAGCAGATTCCACGTCTTTCTTCTGTGGAGGAACCACTGACACTGTGGTTAGCAACTGAGGGCTTTAGCCATTTTGCCACCAACAATGCTCCTTAACATGATTACGTTTAAACAGCACATCTCTGTGCAAGGACCGCACAATGAGACATTCATGGAGAACTGACATGGCACTATTATCATCAATATGCTTTTGTTACTGGGTACCATTGAGTCATAATAGACTCTTAGCTGACCCTCTTGCAGGTGTTCAGAGGCAGTAAATTGTATTGGAAGAGATTTCCCATGTTTCTCCTTTAGAGCAGCAGGTAGATTTGAACTACATGCCTCTGGGTTGGCAAAGCAGCTCCTTACCACTAGTCCATCATAGTTCAGTATACTTAACGGCAAATGTTCTAGGAAGGTTAGAATGCTCCATTCTGAGTCTCTTTTCTTGCAGCTTGTCTGGTTATCTTGGCATTTCTTTTTTAATAATAAATGATTAATTTATTCCTTTTGTTCTGATTTGGAACACCTAAGAGTATCCCAAGTTTGCAAGCCCATATCTTAATAAACAAATCAGTGAAGTGGAATTTGCTTTGTCTGCTTTGGTTCCTACAATGTGATCTGTCAAAGGTGCTAATGAGACTCCCCAGCTCTCATCAAGCCTCTCCATCTTTCTTTCTTTGTACTATCTCTTGCCTTCTTGGCTGTCTTGGTTCTTTCTCTCACTTATTGTTGGTTTGTTGCCTCTTAGCAGTGTGTCTATTTGGGGAAGGAAGGGAGAGATTGCTATGAGCCATTCAGTGTGAACATATCAACCACCTCTTCATTTTCACTGAGTCATTTAAAAACGGAAAAATCCTCCAGCTGGCAGCAGCTAATCTCATCTACCCAATTTTGCTTTTTAAGATTCTGTCTAAATTAATGACAACCAGCAAAGTTTAATAAAGTACTATAGATAGAAACAGCAGATATAAATAATCTAGGCTGAGCTTGTTTGACAATAGACTTCTTTTGGTTTAAATAATCATTAATATAAACTATAAAATGCTAATTTATTTTGCAATGTTTAATGATAAAGTGTTGAATATGTTTTGCAAAGCTAAATACCAAAAATTGTCTCCTTTTTTTACCTTTATGAGCAACTGACCAGCTCAAAATCCTAAAAAATTCATTGCATGTTAACTTTTAAATAGCATAGGAGTTGTCATTGATTATAGCCATACAGTACATTACTCAGCATAAGAAATTTTAAATATCATTTAAACATATATGTGTATCTATCTATATACATGAAAGTGTAGTGGTTTAATCAATCAGTAGGAGTTGTGTTGCTAGGCTAATGGTGGCTGGTTTGAATCCATCAGTGGCTCTGCAGGAGGAACATGAGAAATCTCCTGAACAATTTTACCATTTATAGCCTGTGAAAACCTGCTGGAGAATCAGCTGTGAGTTGGTTCTGACTCAGTGACAGTGAGTTTGCATTTTGAATATGTATATATAGAAGCTCATATATATGAAGAGTCAAGAGAAAGCATCTTGGATAAACAAAACATTGCATAACATGGATGAGTCTAGAGGAATTATTTGAGTGGTATGAGTCAATTACAAAATTATAAGAACTTTACTATAGGAGAGACAGGACACATCCCTGGTGCACACCCTTCCCAATTTTGATACCTTTTCAATTTATATGCAGAACAGATTATCTGGGAGGCTGGGCTCTATGAGGGAAAATGTGGCATCAGGATTGGAGGAACATTCATCGAAAATCTGTGTTATGCAGATGACACAACCATGCTTGCTGAAACTGAGGAGGACCTGAAGTGCTTGCTGCAGGGCAATGAATGCAGCCATCAATATTATTTGAGTCTCAAAATCAAGAAAGAAAGATTCTCACCATTGGGACAATTGGCAGTATCATAATGGATGGTGAAGAGATTGAGATTGTTAACAGCTTTAGTTTGCTTCGTGCCACAGTCAACACTCTTGGCACCAATAGCCAGGAAATCAAAAGATGTATTGCGATGAGAAAGTTTGCTGTTAGAGACCACTCCAAAGTACTGAAGTGCAATGATGTCACTCTGGAGACTAAGGTGTGCCTGGCACAGTCCATAATCTTTGCAATCACTTGCTATGTGTCAGAGAGCTGGACAATAACTAGGGTGAATAGAAGAATTGCTGCCTTTGAGCTGTGGTGCTGGAGAAGAGTATTGAATACACCATGGACTGCCACGAAAATGAACAAGTTCTTCCTAGAGAGAGTTAAACCAGGTTGATCCTTGAGGCAAGGATTCTGAAGCTTCATCTAACATACTTTGGACATGTTGCAAGGAGGGACTGGTCCTTGGAGAAGGACATCATGCTGTGAGGGTGGAGGGGCAGTGCAGGCAAGGAAGACCCTCTATGAGGTGGATTAATTCAGTGACTGGGGTAATTTGGGTAGTTATGTCAGAGACAGTGAGATTGGCACAGGCTAGAGCAGGGTTTAGGGCTATAGTACAAATGGTCGCTGTGAGTCACAGCCTACTCGATGGCACCTAACAACAACAAGGAACTATAGGAGAGCTCTGGTGGCCTAGTGGCAAGAAGCTGCACTGCAATCCTCAAGGTGGTTGGTTCCAGGTCTTCAGCTGTTCTGTGGGAGAAGGATGGGCACTCTCCTCCCGTGTGATTAACTGCCTCTGAAGAGTTGGTTCTGACTCTTCGGTACACAACAACAATTACTATAAAATCATTACTACAGAATCATTCTTAAATGGTTACCAAGGATGGAAAGGGAGGGAGGACTTAAAACTAATCAATAGATAACATTTTCTAAGTTGAGTAAAGAGAAAGGTAGTAAGGTGTTGATCAGGCATTTTAATTTCTTAATTTTATTAATTAATTTCAGTGAATGTTACTAAAAGTATATATGTTTGAATGAAAAGCTAGTATGATTTGTAAACTTACTCTCAATAACACACTAAATCAAATTAATTATAAAAAATTGAATAAGCTGCACACCCACATTTATTGCTGCGTTGTTCACAACCGCAAATAGATGGAAACAACCCAAATGTCCATCAACAAATGAATGGATAGAGAAACTGTGGTATAGTCACACAATGGAATACTATGTAGCACTGGAAAACAAGGAACTCAAAATATTTCACAAAATGGGTGACTCTGGAGGACAATATGCTGAGTGAAATATCTCAGTCACAAAAGGACAAATACTGCATAATACCACTGTTAAAAACAGGACTGACATAAGGATTGGGGGAAACTAAGAAAAGAGGAATAAATAATATACATGGCATTGAAACAGATGAGGGAAAGAATTGCTTTAAAGGAATATATGATGAGATATTATTTGCATGACAATAGTCCAGAATAAAAGCTGCATAGTAAAGTGGTCTAAAGAGGGGGCAGACTGTACAGCAATGAAAGAGATTTTTTTCAAAGAGAAAAGTGAACTGGGGGAGGGCAGGAAGGAAAATGTGCTACAGTGAATAAATGGAAATCCAAGTTCTCGATAAACTTTCATTAAAATCTCAATGAAAAGAATGAAACTGAGTAAGCTTCTTTCAAAGAGCGACAGAGGTGGTGATTCAGGACACCGAAAGAAAGAAGAGGGCTGGGGTTGTCTCTCCTTTCCTTCTTCACATTCATCCGCTCACTCACCATTCACTGAGTATGCACTAAATGCCAGGCACTGTTAAGTACTAGAAATTTTTAAAAAATAATAAAAAGGGTTAAGTCTTAACAGTCTAAAATGAGGAGGGGTTTTGAAGATGGATTTGACAGTTCAAGAGTGTACCCCGTGTTTGTGTGTGCAAAGCACCTCCTGTGTTGCTTGCAAAACCTTTGCTCCAGCACTAAGTATAGAAGGTAATTAGATGATATTGAGTCTAACTTATGCTCCAAACACGCCATAAAGTTATTGAGTGGAAAACACCATGGACACTTGTAGGTTTACCATTGGGAGTAATACTTGTCTCATATTTGCCAAAAATGGAGATGAGGGAGGACCAAGCGGGAAGACTCACCACTTCTCCTCTTCTACTTGCACTCCTACGGACTGGAACTTACTGGGCACTTTGTGCTCATCTGTTTTGTCAGGTTCTTCAGCGTCGTCGACCTGGAGAGACAATCAAATAATTGGAAATGTCACAAGCTCATCATCTCAGAAAAAGAAATTAATCTTCTGTTACATTCCTAGAATGGTTTGCGATTTCTAGGTTTATGTTCAAGATTTTCCTATTTGATGAGACCCAACATGACCTTATGAGCATGCTCTCCCAACTGTGCTAGTGTTGGTGAAATGCAATTCCATCACTCACCAAATGCCTTATCCTCTGCTGATTTTTGGGCACATCCTTACCTCAAAAGCACTGCCTGAAAAGTATCACTATGTGAGAAGGGAAATCGATGTGAAAATGTATTATCTGAAGTTTGGAATTTGCAGATTACAAAATATGATTTGAGAAATGAAAATCACTCTTTATAGAAAGTGGACAGGTTTTTGTTGTTATGTGCTGTCAAGTTGCTTGCGACTCATAGTGACCCTATGTACAACAGCCCTAAATCCTTCTCTATCCTGTGCTAATCGCACTGCCTCTGACACACCCATCCTAATTACCCCAGTCACTGAACCGATCCACCTCATAGAGGGTCTTCCTCTCCTGTGCTGTCCCTCTACCCTCCCAAGCATGATGTCCCTCTCCAAGGACCTGTCCCTCCTTACTACATGTCCAAAGTATGTCTGATGAAGCCCCAGAATCCTTGCCTCCAAGGAGGAGCCTGGTTTAACCCTCTCCAGGATGAATCTGTTTGTTCTCTTAGCAGTACATTCCATACTCTTCTCCAGCACCAAAGCTCAAAGGCATCAATTCTTCTATCTTTCCTAGTCATTGTCCAACTCTGATGCAACAAGTGAATGCAAAGACCATGGCCTGTATCAGGCACACCTTAGTCTCCAGAGTGACACCACAGCTCTTCAGTACTTTGGAGAGGTCCCTAACAGCAGACTTTATCATCACAATACGCTGTTTTGATTTCCTGGCTACTTGTGCCAAGAGCATTGACCGTGAAGCCAAACAGACTAAAGTTGTTGGCAATCTCAAAAGTGCATATAGGAGACTATTCATTTTTAGCAAGGGAGAAAGATGGGCAGTCTCCTTTCAGGAGATTTACTGCCTCTGAAAATCCCCTGGAGGGTCAGTTATGAGTCAGTTCTGACTCAACAGTGCACAAAACCAACAGCCATATATTTATAGACTCTCTTGTAGAGTATGCATTCATATCCCATTGATAACTTCTGTATCTGTCAGCTCTTTGTAGAATCTCACATAGAGAATGCATTCATATCCAATTGACAACTTCTGTACCAGGTGGCCTGATCGTAGGGGCACTATAAATCATATTTGATCATAAGGCACCTAACAAAAACAACAACATACCAGATTAATGGGGCTCTGGTGGTATAGTGAATTGCACTGCTAAACAAGTCTTTTCCCCTTAAGATTTACAGACTTGAAACATGATGGAGGGCAGCTATGAGCTGAAACAAATGTGACAAAAATGAGTTTTTTCCTTGGTTTTTTTGGTAACAGATTAAACCCAATTAAATTTTGAAGTCAATCATAGGAATAATTAAAGAATTTAGGTGTAATCCTTCATTTTCTATATACATAACATTTTTATAAGTATAAAAGCAATTCTAAATTAGTTACGTAAAGTTAAAATACAGAAATACATCAGGTATAAAATAAAAATCCCTCAAGAATCAGTTTTTTGGGGCTTATTTGCCCTTCTCTTCCTTTTTTTATATATAACCAAAGATTCATACATATATTAAAAACAAACAAATTAGAAAACTCCCCCTCCTGCTCTAAGAAGATTCTAACTCATGGGGACGGGGGAGGATACCTTATCTCTCTCCCACGGAGTGGCTGGTGGATTTGAACCTTCTACCTTTGGTTGGCAGCCCAATACACCAGAACTTCTTATTCATATATGGGTGACCGGGGTGAATAGGCACCAAAGGACTGGCTGACTCTTGGAGACTTTTGCTTCGTACATTATATATTCCTTGGCTGGGTAAATGGCTATGTTCTGGTCTACTTAAAAAAAGTTGATGGTTCTTGCAAGAACATGGCAACAGGCCAAACATCCAACCACAATCAAATGGATTAAGAAATTATAATACATTCACATGATAGAATATTACATAGCACGCAGGAGCAATGATTTTATAAATTATCAATCTTGTAGGGACTGGAGAGCATTATGCTAAGTGAATTAACACAGTCCCATAAGGACAAATATAATATATAGGACTATTATTGTAGAAATAGGTAACTAGTAAAATGTGTATGAGGATCTAAGGTAGGGAAAGCACAGGGGTGAGGATGGCTTGGGGAGTAGTCAAAGGCTCGCACAATTTGATGGGTGGAGGGAGAGGTGGTTTAAGGGAATGAATGGAAAGATGCTGTATGAAAAAGAGTGCATACAGACTTTGTAAGTAAACCAATATAAAATTTAAAAAATTTTTTAAAGAGTTGGTTCAAACCTACCCAGAAACTCCCTGAATCTAATGTCTGGCAATTTGCTTTCCAGAGGGAAAACTCCATGGAGTGTAGCTCTCCTCTGCACACTTGGTGTCACTATGAATTGGAATCCTGTGGATGGCAAATAATAACTACGTGCTCATACACATACACAATAATACTTAACTTGCACAAATGAGATCATAGTAAGACCTGCAAAAGCTACAATCTACGTAATATTGACTCTGTCAGGGAAGGAAAACTCAAGTATTTCCCATTAAAATGAGCAACATAAAAACGGTAAGAGTATAGTTTGCACCCAGTCCCATCAAGTTTTGGTTCTCATAGTTTTCACTACAGAATATAACTTCCCACAAATTCTTTTATTCAGTAACACTATCTTGCAGACATTTTATCATGTCTCTAAATAAAGCTCTAGCTCAGCCCTTTCTGCCTTGGCTACATCAATACTCCTTTGGCAGACTGAGCAACATGAGCATCAGAAAAATTTTCATGTTCCTTGTGAAGGTTGCACCTACCTTAGTTGTTGCTGTTATTCTGTATTGCTTTTTAAAGCTCAAATTTCTTTTACAATTAGCAATTCCTTCCTTTTAAATTGTTTTTCTTTTCCTAGTTCTACAAATTCAATGTTTAAATGTTAATACTTCTTGCTTAATTAAGCTCCGTTGGCCTAATGATGAGAATCTATGATGCAACCCCAAAGACACTCAGTTTGAACCCACCAGATGCTCCTCAGGAAAATAATGAAAAAAATCTCTTCCCTTTTGACCCACTAGAGGGGTCAGCTACGGGTTGGTTCCAACTGATGGCACACAATAACAACAACAATTATTAAGTAATTCAAGACTTCTACCAGTTCTGAGGTCTCAGTGGTGGCCACAACTCAGTGTTGATTGACGTCATTTATTTTTTAATAGTTTCTAGTTTTCTCTTTACTAGATGTCTTTTAGAAGATTCTTTATATATATTTTTTTTTCAGTGTTGCACATTTTCTTCCCCCTTTTGTCCTCCCCCAGTCCTCCTTGCAATGCACTCCTTGTTCCACATTGTTGTACATATAATGCCTAATCATATATTCCTTTCATACAGTTCTTCCCCTTATCTATTCTAATGCAGTGTTTACTATCTATCCAGTCTTCCCATTCTTTCTCCATCTCCCCATGTCTGTCCTATTATATAACAGTGATGTTATGCAGTGTTTGTCTTCTATGACTAAGATATTTCACTCCTCACAGTGTCCTCGAGGCTCACCCATGGTGTGTAATATTTTATGAGTTCATTGCTTTTCAATGCTACATAATATTCCATTGTGTGAATGTACTATAGCTTTTCTATCCATTCATTTGTTGATGGGCATTTACTTGGGCTGCTCCCATATCTTTGCCACTGTGAAAAAAAAGGCAGCAATAAATATGGATGCGTGCATAAATCTGTTTGAGTTGTGGCTCTGATTTCTTTAGAATATATTCCCAGTAGTGAAATTGCTGTACCATATGGTATTTCTATTTCCAACTTTTCAAGAAAGTGCCAGATTTCCTTCCATTGTATCATTTTAGACTGCCAATAGCAGTGAATAAGAGTTCTAATTTCTCCACAATCTCACTAGCATTTGTTGCTTGTTGCCTTGTTGAACTTTTCTATTGTTGCTATTTGTTTTTTTAGGAGACTTTTTTTAAAAAAGGGAGCCCTGGTAGCCTACTGGCAAGAAGCTGCACCCAATCTCGAAGGCAAGTGTTTTGACTCATGTAGATTCTCTGCAGGAGAAGGATGGGCAATCTCCTCCTGTGCTATTAACAGCCTCTGAAAACCCACCAGAAGGTCAGCTGTGGGTCGGTTTTGACTAGACAGTAAACAACAACTTAAAAAAAATCTGCTGTGGTCTAATAGGTTTCCTTACCAACTATGCAAAGTCAGGTGGTTTGAATCCACAAAGGTGGGCACTCCCTTCCCAGTCATTTACAGGCTCTGAAAATCAGCTGGAGGTTGTCTATGAGTCAGTTCTAACTCGGTGGCAATGACTTGAGTCGAACATTGTTAATTTTAAGGAGCACTGGTGGTTTAGCAGGTAGAGAGTTGTGGGGCTTACCCAAAGGTGACACCTGTCTAGAGGTTCAATAAAACCTTAGCGAGCCCACTGGAGGGTCTGACTTGACTTTGTTGATTTCTAGTTTTAATGCATGCTAGGTGGAAAACATGACTGTAATATTTCTTCCTTTTGAAACTCAATAAAATCAACTCTTTGGCTCAGTACCTTTAGACTCAAGATAAATTCACACAAATAATGCAAATGGATGAGAATTTCAAAGGAATTAAATACAAAATTTGAATGTATTGACTATGTCCACAAATCTCCTTAGGGACATCATTGTTACTGTTAGATGGATCTTAGCAGAAAGCAGAGTTACAGAGAGGAATATCTATCTGTGTTTCATGACTATGCAAAAGTATTTGACTGTGGATCACAAAAAATTATGGCTAACCTTAAGAAGAATGCGGATCCCAGAACACTGAATTGTGCTCATTCCAAACCTGTACTTGGACCAGGAAGCAATAACCAGAACAGAGCAGG